CACGGGCTGCAGTGAAAGAACCTTGAATCTAGCGAGTTAAAACGGGTGGATTGGCAAGCTCTGCAGGGAAGGAAGTAGCCAACATCCAGATGTGAAGAGAGGCGGGTGCTGGGATTTGGGGTGGCCAGGGCCATGGGATTTGCTTCCATGGTTCTGCTGTGCACTGACCGGGCTCCAGCATGCGCTGGTCCTAGATTGGATTTCCGTGGAGAGAGGCTAATTGCTCTACCTTGGCTGAGAGCAGGACCTGGGAACGGGAAGCGGGGTCACCAGGATTAGAACCGGTGCCCATATAAGATCCTGGCATGTGCAAGGTCAAGTTGCTAGGCTACCATGCCAGGCCCCCACATATGTTTTTTAAAAATTTTTTATTTATTGAGCCTGGCATAATATCCTCGTGGCTCCTGGCTCCACCCCCAGCCTTTGCTTTCTCCTGAGCGAGATCTCTATCTTTTCAAGCAGAAGCAACATCCTACATTTCTCAGATGGCCTGGGGCCCTCACTCTTTTGACTCCTGGAAACTTCTCTTGTTTAGATAGCTCACACAAGACTGGGTCCAGCCTCTCGCCACCCTGGGTGCATCCGTGTTTGAGTGTGAGGGTCAGACTCCCAGGAGAACATCGCTCAGCCCAGTCTGCAGTGGAACACACCAGATCCCGAGTGGAGAGAAGGACTTTTCCTGAGGGAAGGGAGTCCCTCAGTCGAGGAGGCATTCCAGGGGAGTGACAGCAGTGCCGGTTCTCGGAAGAGGGCCTGACTGCACGTGGACCCTAATGGAGGACCGAGAGCAAACTTTCTGGGCCCCCACCTCAGTTCCTTTACTTTCCTGCTGGTCCCAAGGGGATGAACCTGTGTAACCCGCGACGCAGGTGCACTTGGGCAAGAATCACAGGGGCCCAATGCACTTGTGGCCACATACCCCGGCTCCCTCTCTGAGTACCCACCGTGTTGCAGGTTCCTATGTAAATGAGGGATGTTAAAAACCTCCTCTTCCACAGAAATCCTGCGCAGGCGTGGTGCCAGGGGCCCGAGCTGGGGGGATGCCATGGGCACAGCCTCCTGGAGCTCCTGTGGTTTGCTTCCCAGAGGCTCATGTGGAGGCTGCAACCCATGCATCCTGGGCTTGGGGACAGAGGACCTGTAGCCAACCTGTCATCTATTTCCACTCTCTTCCCCAATACAGTCTGCAGTCCATCCAATACGGTTTTTCTTTTTTTTTTTAAGATTTATTTATTTTTATTTGAAAAGCAGATTTACAGAGAGAAGGACAGAGAGAAAGATCTTCCATCCACTCATTCACACCCCAAGTGGCCACAACAGAGTTGAGTCGATTCAAAGCCAGGAATCTCTTCTGGATCTCCCACACGAGTACCGGAGTCCAAGGACTCGAGCCATCCTCCACTGCTTTCCCAGGCCATAAGCCATAAATTGGAAGTGGAGCAGCCAGGAATTAGAACCAGCACCCATATGGAGATGCTGGTGCTCGCTAGTGGAAGGTTAGCCTATTGAGCCATCATGTTGAACCACCCACCCAACCGCCACGCCCACACACACCCTACAGGTTTTGATTGCAAACATGTTAAACCCTTTCCAAAGGGGAACAAAGCTCTATTGGGCACAGCCCCCGGTCTGAAGGCTGGGGGAAGAAGTCTCTGGCCAAACACCAGGTGGCCGGCAGGGGCCATGAGGGACGGGAGGGGCCAGGGAGAGCAGGCTGCGGAGGATGGGGAGGGCAGGGAGGGGCCGTGGGGACCTTGGCGAAGCAGCCGCAGGGGTTCCAGAGGGAATGTTTTTCCTGTGGTCAGTCTGGGCCTGATAAACAGCACGTTGGGAGGAGGTGAGGGCGGGGGGCGGGGGCTGCTCAGCAGGGGCCTGGCCGGGAAGGGGCCCCAGGGCCTGGCCGGCTGGCTCCCCAGACCACAGAGTGGAGACATAACTATGTGAGGCATGTGGACTTTCGTCTCCCGTCCTCGACCCCCTGGACGGAGTTCAGATGAATTACAAGGCTGCCCACAAACGCTGCGGTGGGAAGCTTGTTTGCCTTCCTGCAGAAGCAAAGCAGATTTGCTGCCAGATTAGGGAACAGGGGCTGGGGTGAGGGGGGGTCACCCAGGAGAACCAAGCCTGCCCAAGAGGCCTTAACTCAGTATTAATGAGGTGCTCAGAGCCGGAATAGAGGGAGCACTTGGGAGAAACCTCCAGGAATTTGCCTGGAAGAGACCTGCTGGCCTGGTTGCTTCCCTAGACCCTGCCAGAGGTGCCCGCAGGCCTGTCAGGTCCCTGTGCACCTGTTTACAACAAGGTGGACACCTGAGGACCCGGAACTCGACCAGCAGGTGGCATCATAGTGGGTGACAGTGAGGTTGTGGCTCGAGCCTGGGTCTCGGGGCTCTTCCTGCTGCTGACCAGCCCATGTGGTCCCATCTCAAGGGGCAGTTTGGCTTGTGCAAGTAAATTTGGTCAGTCCAGCAAAGGAGAAGGATTTGAGTTCATCCCACAAAATATGTGTCCCTGTATGTGGGCAAGCGCGGTGAGCGGGGAGGAGCCCAGGGGTCGACCACCCTAGGCTTGGTCCTGACTGCTGGCTGAGCCCCGGTGCCATGCTTAACATGCATCTGGCTCCCTCCGTTGGACAGTGTGACCCTAAGCATGTCCCCAGCCACGTGCTGCTGGGCACAATGAATGAGGGCACACCGATCCTTCCTCCTGCAGAGCCTGGCACAGAGTCCATGCTCAGGCAGTGTCTGTTCGCAGCGTCATCATCATCATTATCACCATCACAGCAGGCAAAGGAGTGGAAGGTCCCACATCTGGGCCAGCTGTACACTGCTCATCTTGGAGGCTGGAGGGCACTGACATACAAGGACACACGCCAGCCTCAGCAGGGTCTCCCTTTGGCAGATTTACCCACCCAAGGGGGAACAGTCCAGCTGAGCTACAAAAAAAGTACCACTCCCCCATCTAACTGGCAGGTAAGTGAAAGCAAGGGTGGGTGGGCTGCATTGTGGCACAGCAAGCTGAGCTGCTGTCTGCAATGCAGATTCAGGTCCTGGCTGCTCCACTCCCGACCCAGTTTCCTGCTATTGAGCCTGGGAAAGCAGCAGATGGCCCAAGTGCTTGGGTCCCTGATGGGGCTCCAGGCTCCTGGTTTCAGCCTGGTCTGGCCCTGGCCACTGAGGCCATTTGGGGAGTGAACCAGAAACCAGTGGATGGAAGATCTTTCTCTGCCTCTCTTCTGTGTTTCTCTCTCTGTATATTTATTCAAATAAATCAGTCTTTTTAAGAAAAGAAAAGCTAAACTAGGGCACGCCTTGCCATCATCCATCCTCCCACCTCAGGCTCTGCTGTCAGAGATGGGACCCAGGAAAGGCAGCTGGTACCTTACTGGATCTTTGGGGCCTCCACCTGAGCCTCCAGCACCCACGGGGCTGGGTTCAGGGTCAGCTCATGGGGAGAGAAGGCAGCCACCCTGCGCACACACGCGCACCCTCTCCTGGGAGGGCTGGACGCTGGCTGGCGGTGTGGGTCCTGACTCTGCTGCCCAGGGGCAGCTTGGAAGGGACCTCCCAGCACTCTCACAGAGTGGCCCCCACGTGTGTGCTCTGAGTGAATCCTGTGACCCTAAACATGCCCCTTCTCACCTTGCCCCATTTCTCTCTCTCAGCAGGGAATGCCGACCCTTATCCAATCCACCCAGGCCCTGCGACAGAGCCCAGTCCCCTGGCGATTCTGCCCGGCTCTCCCCAGTCCCTTGCGCCTGGCCCCTGGCAGTCACCGAGTCTCTGTTTCAGCTGCACATTAACTCTAGATTCTAACCGCCTTCCCGGTGAAGGGGAGGGGATCCCGAGGGCGGGCTGCCTTTCACCCACTCGATAAAAGCCGCAGCCAGACGCCAGGGGCAGAGCTGGCCTAATGCTGACCAGGTAGGAGGTCAGCATGCAGGGAAGGGAGTCTTGATTGTGTGTGGCATTTGCAAAGCTGGTTTAGGAGCCACGGCCAGGACGTGGTGGACTACCTGGTCCTGCTGCCAGCTAGGCTTTGGTCCCGCCCCAGGGCACAGCAGCCATCTCTGGACTCCCAAGTCTATAAATCTGCCCAGGAGCCCCTGAAACCTGACATGGGGGCCTCCTCTTGGGACTAACTGAGGCTTTCACACCCGCAGGCTCCATTCCAGACTCTGGAAGGGGCTTCGGGCCAGGAGCCAGCTGGGTCACCCCCAGGGGCCGGCACGTTTCCCTTACAGAGATCTTCGCTCTCTCACTGAGGGGCAGAGCTGGTCCCAGATGGGGGTGGCACTGGGGACTAGAAGTGTGGAACCTTTTATTCCCACACTGCTCTCCTTGCCTGGATCCCAGGGGTTCCAAATGCGCCCCACCCCCACACACGCACACCCATGCTCCAGTTCTGGGTGTGCGACCCTACCCAGACTCCAACTCACCCCTGAAGACGGCCTAGCCCACAGAAAGCCTGTAGACTGCCTCTTGACACCCGGCAGGGGCACCTGGAGCTGGGGTCTGCCAGACCCGGCCCTGCCCTTCACAGAGCTGGAGGGAGGCCAGCTGCTGTCCATCCCCGTTTCCCTCCCGGAAGGTGTCTGCCTGCCCTCCTCCCTCCACATTCCCTTGGTGCACCTGCTCTTGCAAACACATTCAAGCTGGCTTGTCGCCTTCTCCTGTCAGGCAGGGGAGGAGGGACTCCTTTATGGCCACCCAGGCCAGGATCAAGAGGACAGCACTGAGACGCATACACACAAACCCTGGATCTGGCCCCAAGCCCCAGTCGCTGAGTCAGGGAGAGGCGGGGCCCCAGGGGAGTTTGTGTTTGGCCGCTGGCCAGCCTCCTGCTGCCCTGGTCCTCTCTCACCCTCTCCCCTCCTAGGTCCCCGCTGCTTGGGAGGAGCCCTTGATATTTGTAGCCAGGGCAGAGAGGAAATATTCGGAGCCAGCTCGGTATCCATCTTCAGGACTTTTATTGCCCCAGGTTCCGCGACCCAGGCAGGGCTAGAAAAAGTTGACCACCCTGCGGAGTGACTGCACGCGGGCACTGTGGGCCTCCCAGTCGGAGAAGCTGCGGAAGTCACCCCTCTCCACCACGTACATGCGGCCACGGTAGCTGGGCTCCTCGTACAACACCCACCTGGAGGGCAGGGGAGGGGGTCAGGTGGGCTCCAGAACTCCGCTTCCCCCCGACCCTCCTTCAGCCCCACCCCCACCCCAATCTCAGCCCCACCCCAGCCCCACTCCCACCCAAGCCCACCCCAGGCCCTGCACCCACCTCAGCCCCAGCCCCACACCAGGCCCACTGAGCCACCTTGTTCCAGTAGTTACTGATGTTTTGAAAAACCCACCCTTTCACTGCAGGGACCAGGTGTCATTGCATGTATGTCTATTCCTCATGCCAGCCCCACATGGCCCCTTCCCTTCCCGGTGAGGGGCAAGGAGTACCTTGTGCAGACAGCACCCCTGCCCTTGGCACAGCCGGGAGAGCAGGCACAAAGGGGCGAGTGGAGGCAAGCTGGCTGGGCCCCTGCCAGAGGGGCAGGGCTGGCCTGGTCACTGCACCTGCCCTCCCTGCACTGGTTCTCACCACCTCCAAGCCACAGCTGGGGTCTAGGGGCAGGGCAGGGCAGGAATGGGCTGATTCCTCCCAAGCAGTGTCCTAGGCCACCTTGGAGCTCGTGTGCATGTCCCCTGGAGGAAGGAGCAAGGGAAAGGAGGGGCCCTGACAGGAGTGCCACCATCCCAGGTCACCGTGTCACCATCAGAGAGCTTCTCCTTGGTACCGGCTCACATGCGCTCAGAGTTAAGTCAGACCCCGGAGTCCAGCACAGCAGCTTCCAGTTAATTCCTGCCCTCAGAGCCTTGTCTCCTCAAAGGCAACTGGAGGTAAAGAAGATCCTACACCCTCACAGCCACAATCTCAGGCCAGGGAACAGGGCTTGGGCCCCGCAGCCAAGCCCCTGCTGCCTCACCCGGGGGTCGGGCTCCATTCTCAGCTTCACTCCTGCTTCCTGCTGACCTGAGGGTCCCTGGCCCGCAGCCTTGGCCTGGCTTAGTTCTGGCTAATACATTTAAGGAGTCCTCCCTCCCTCCCCTGCCACCTGCTCTCCCCGTACCCCGCAAGTCTGCTCACAAGTGTCCTGGGTGGGGACACACACACACACACACACACACACACTCGGTACCTATCTTCCGGTCTCTCTGAGATGCCGCTGTTGTGGCACAGCAAGTTCAATGGCCACTTACAATGCTGACGTCCTCCCACAGAGCACCAGTTTGAATTCCAGTTGCTCTGCTGTCAAATCTAGTTCCCTGCTACTGTGCCTGGGAAAGCAGTGAAAGAGGGTCCAAATTCTTAGGCCCTCCCTCCATATGGGAACATTTGGAGAGTCAAATAATGGACAGATTTCTCTTTCTCCCATTCTGCCTCTCTTTATGTCACTCTGACTTTTAAGTAAATACATAAAATCTCTATATAGGACCTGGTGCTATGGCTTAATTAATTAATCCTCCCCTTGCAAGTGCAACAACCCACATGGGCTCCAGTTTGTGTCCCAGCAGCTCCACTTCCCATCCAGCTCCCTGCTTGTGGCCTGGGAAAGCAGTCAAGGACAGCCCATAGCTTTGAGACCCTGCACCCATGTGGGATACCCAGAAAGAAGTTCCTGGATCCTGGCTTCAGATCGGCATAGCATCGGCCGTTGCGGCTCACTCGGGGATTGAATCATTGGACGGAAGATCTTCCTCTCTGTCTCTCCTCGTTTCTGTATATCTGACTTTTCGATAAATAAATAAATCTTCAAAAAAAAAAAAAACACCTTTCTATATAAATAAATGGAACATAATTGCCTACCTTGCTCACCTTTGACCTAAATAAATCCTGGATTTCCTTAAGCACTAAGGGGGAGATTACATGTTGAGTCTTAATATGACTCCAACCCTGGAGTCAGCAAAGCTTCCAGATCAGATAGCTGCGTGGGAAATTCTCCCCTTGACTCCCTGCCTACCACCTCCCTGCCCCCTGCTCACCCCCTGCCGATTGCTGCCCTCCTGTCCCCTGCCCCCTGCCTCCCTGTCCCCTACCCTACCCCTGCCCTTCTGCCCCTGCCCCCACCCCTGCCTTTCTGTCCCCTGCCCCTGCCATTCTGGCCGCTGCCCCCACCCCTGCCCTTCTCCCTTCTGCCCCCTGCCCCCCACCCCCTGCCCTTCTGCCCCCTGCCTTCCTGTCCCCCTGACCCCCATCCTGCCCTCCTGTCCCCTGCTCCCATGCCCCAGTGCCATCCACTGAACACAAACCTGAGCACAGCACTTTGCAAAGGGAGAGGAAGAGCAGGAGAAAGGCAGGTGGGAAGCCAGGCTCCTGAAAGAAGCTGCAGAGCAGCCAGAGGAAGGCCGCTCAGTGGGTGGGGGACAGGAGGGAGGGCCTGGCTCGGCTCAGTTCCTCCTCGCCCTCCTGCGGTCCCTCCCCTGACCACTGGCTTGTGACCATCCAGCAAGTCCCTAAACAGGAATCTCCATGGAAGCACAGGGCTCCCTCCCTCAGCCGCTTGGAGAGGGGTCAGGCTCTGGAACAGCTCGTGCACGTGGCCGTGCCTCTCTCGGGAGACACAGCCAGCTCTGAATCAGTACAGGCTTGCCTAGACAGTACCACTGCCACATCCACTGAATGCACGTGCTGTGTCTCACCCTGCGGCCAGGAATACCTCAGTCTCGTGGCTGGAGGATTGGAAAGATGGCCAGCTTGACAGTGCTCGGTAGGAGGGCAGGCACGTGGCAGGTGCACAGCAGGAATGGGGGTGCTGCCCTGGGCTGCTCGGAAGGAGGGAAGAGTGTATATAGGGATGCCGGGCAAGTACAGGGGTGACAGCTGTCTGGGAACAGGAAACAACCACTCCGGATTTGGCTCTCATTCCCATGCTACTCTGGGTCCTTCAGGGTGAGCCATCCTGAGATCCATCTGCCCAGAAGCCAATGCAGTTGATGTCTGGCTGCTCAGCAGAGAGAGCCAGCCAGTTCAGATGGCAGGGGTCAACTTTGCAGGGCAGCAGGTGGCAGGGCCGGCAGGTGCACCCCTCTGAGTGTGGGAGATTCCACTGTAAGTCCTGAGCAGGTGGGCATCTTTGGGGGAGAAAAACCAATGATGGCCCAGGCTGTCAGTACATCTGCAGGGACACCCCCTCCTTCCTCTGTTCCAGTGCTGGTGCAGCCTGGGACAGGACCCTGTGTGGCTCACAGAGGCCTCCACTGACCACCGGCTTAATGAGGCTGTGGGGGTGTCTGGGGGAGGGCAGGGCCTCTGAGATGAGGGTGGGGCAGGGCAGCCCGGCTGCCACTCACGCTCCATCGCCGTACACCTTGATGGCGTTGACACAGCTCTTGGCCCAGCCCCGGCTCTGCAGGAAGGGGCAGTCGTCCACAAACTCCATGCACTGGCCCGTGAAATTGCAGCCCTCGAAGATTTCCAGGCGGAAGTGTTCTCCGTGCTCCAGACCCAAGCGGGCACAGGGAAGAAAGAGGGAGAATGCTTGGAGCCTGACTCCCCCACCTGCATGCAGAAGGCCCGTACACCCCAGGGTTCCTGGGCCAGGCTGAGCTGGCTGGGGCACATGCTGGGTGAAGCTCCTGCATCCCAGGCCCTACCAGGCTACTCTTCCCAGACCTGAGATTCGGATGGATGAAAGAACTCCACTGGTAATTTAAAAGCGCTTCGTAGCTGCTGAACAGCTGAGAGCCCAAGTTCAGGACCAAGGTTGCTGGCTCCCTTCAAGGGCACCCCAGCCTTGCCAGCCCACTCCAGGGTTTGGCACCTCCCTTCTGGCCCACACGCCCTCAGAAAACAGCATTGTTAAAACTAGTCCAACCCTTTATAAAAGCCCAAAGCCCGAAGTCTAAAGCAAACAACAGATGTCATTAACCGAGGCCCTTGGCACCTTCACCTTGCTGTTCCTGGCACTGGTTCCCAGATCTCCTCACCATTCCCCATGCCTCTAATGATGGCAGAGAGCCTGCCCCAGGGCTCACCCCGGTTCTGCTACTGATGTGGAAGAGACGGGGATCCCACCCAGAAAGGCACTTTTCTCAGATGCTTGCCAGCGCCTCCTCCCCACCCCCAGGCTAAGGACAGGTGCACAGTGAGGCATCCTGCATCTCCCACCAGAAGGACCATGACTCGTGGTAGGTCTCTTGTGACACCCATCGTGCCATATCTGTGGGACAGTGGCCATTCCAGGGGACCTGCCCCCAGCTGTCCGCTGTACTGCTCCAGTGCCCTGCTCGTCCCAGATCAGAGTCGCAAGAGCTCTCAGAGGTGCTGCAAGGTCAGGCAGGTGTTGGGTGTGTCCCCATCCAGTTGCAAACCCAAACGAGCAGTATCTTCAGCACCTTTTTCAGTGGGCAAGTTAGCTGGATTTTGGGATGTGATGGCGTGCCTGCATGCATGAAGACTGCCAGGGCTGGGGTTAGTCTTCTTACTGTCTCTCACACTAGCATCACTCCCACCCTTCAAGATCTTTAAGCCAGGAGGCTCACACCCCCGGATTACTTGTCTTACATCTGCCCCAAGCCCAGCTCTCAGGGCCCTCAGCAGCCCCTGTGGCACACCGGACCCCGGGGAGAGGGGTCCCTCACCATCCCTACAGGCCGGCAGGAGCCCATGTGGTCGTTGTGGCCGTTCCAGCGGAGGAAGTCAGGGTAGTCGCCGTGTTCCAGGATGAACTGCTGCCCCCGGAAGTCAGGGTGGTCGAAGCAGACCCAGGCCCCACTCTCCACGCGAATGGAGTTCACTCTGCTCATGAAGCCATGGTCCTGAAAATTGTCACACTCCCCGAAAACCTCCAGCTTCCGCCCGGTGAAGTGCTTGCCCTCGTAGAACGTGATCTGCAAAGGCACAAGTGAGGGGAGTTCGTGGTCAAGGGGTCTCTCCTTTGACCTTGGTGGACTGGTGTCTGGGGGAACCCTGGCTCCCACCGAGACACCTCTGCCCAGCCCCTCCGGGATAGGCACCAGCCGCTGATTGCCGATGGGGCAGGCGGAGAGTGTGCGCTGTGCCCAGGTCAGGCTTAGGGAGCTTCAGCCTCAGCCGCTGGGAGGGCACGGTGAATGCCCCTTGAATACGCCTTGAAACTTGGGAAGGCATCCTTTTCAAACTTCCTGGGCACCTGAAAGGTCATATTTTCCCAAGAGGAAATTTCACCCACAGCTAGTGAGTCTTCACAACCCGCGCAGCTCTGGGAAAGCCTGGCTCCTGGAGCAGAGCCCAGCCAGGACCCACCAGGGAGGGGACCACGGGTCTCAGAATTGCAGGCTAGTCCCCCGCTCTCTGTTTCCCAGGTCACTCCCTGGGGACACAGATCAGATCTGGAACCTTCATCACCTCGGCTTAGCTCAGACAGTATCTAACAGACAAATGGTGCTCACAGGCTGTCCCTGTCCCCAGACAGACAACACAAAGCAGTAATCACCTCCAGTCTCACTTTCTGGCACAAAAAACCCACATTTGAACCGTGCAGGGACCCTTTGGGTTTCCTACAAGGGCGTGATCAAGGTGTCAACCAGCAACTGCTGTCCTTCGAGCCACCCCCATGTTCCAAGGGAGCATGGTGGCTTTGTCCTCGCAAGCCCCCTGGGACCAGGTATGGGCCAGAGCCCTGACCACCAGGAAGGAAGCGTGTGGCCCTGGGTACTTTGCCAGCCAAGATGTGGCCAACTCCGAGGGTCCGGCTAGGTCTGTGTGGGGCACAGGAGCAGGTGTGTGTGACACACACCAGACACACCTCGGACACACATGGCACATGCCATGGAGGGAGGCAGAACCCCTGGCTGCTGGGCTGTTTCAGCTCTGCTGCTGGCCGCGGTCACGCTGGCACCATGGGCACATGGGAATGTGGCCTCTGGTGCCCACAGATGTGAGCAGGATAGTGGCCTTGCCACGTCAAAGAAGCGGGTAGGGAGACCACGCCGGGACTCTCTGAGCCATGCCTGTCCCTCAACTCTCAATGGGAACCAGAAATTCAGACCTAAGTGTCCCTCAGGGAAAAGCCACTTCACAACCAGCCTTGAGTAAGCTGCTGGGCCCGGGGCCCGAGGGGACAGCACGGCTCAGCAGCTCTCACTGCCCACCATCCCTAACCCCGAGGGGCCCTCGGCCAGCAGCAGCTGGGCTGCCCCGCTGGAGAAGCGATCCAGCCAGCTGTTTCATGCTTGAGGTCATTACATTCAAACAATGCAAGGGATGACAGCTGTGCCCTCCCAGCCCCACAGCCGGGGGTGACGGCCCATCCAGGAACCCCTGAGGACCATCCAAGGGTCCATCTGGGGACTCCCGCCCGGTCCATATCTGCATTGGGGGTGGTTGAGGGATACACTCACCTTTCCTGAGCGCTGTGCCATCATGCTCCTCGCCCCATCCTCCACGGACCCCCGTTTATACCGGGCAGCATCCTGCTGGGTCAGCGCCGCCAGGGACAAAAGATTTGCTTGGCCGGGCACCACCGTGTTAGTGCTGTCGGGCGTGCTAAGCCTGTGAGGGGCCGCCGGACAGGCCACCGGGACTGGCCCACCACCCCCCTATGCGGCCTGCAGCCCTCAAGGCTCTGCTCGCCAGACCCCCTCTTCAGCCAGCCCACCAGGCGTGCCCCTGCTGAGTTAGCACTTGGCCTCTATGCCTCTGCTTGGGCTGGGAAGGGGCTGTCTCTGCTTCCCTCGCCTTGCAGCCCCCTGCCCAGGCCCACCTCCCCAGGCCTTGGTTCTCTGACCACAGATACAGGGAAGGTGGCTCTTGATGCCCCCCTGTCTCTGCCTTCAGGCCCAATTGGGTCCTGTGCTTTCTCAGCCCCCGCTGACTGAGCTCAGCGGCCTGTCCCCCTGCCCTCCTGCTGTCCTGGCCCTCTTGAAGGAGGTGTTGTGGGGAGTGCAGTTCGGTGACTCAACTGGCTAATCCTCTACCTGCATTCCATATGGTTGCCGGTTCATGTCCCAGCTGCTCCCCTTCCCTTCCAGCTCCCTGCTTGTGGCCTAGGAAAGCAGTCAATGGCCTTGGGACCCTGCACCCATTTGGGAGATCCAGAAGAAGCTCCTGGCTTGAGATCGGCTCAGCTCTGGCTGTTGTGGCCACTTGGGAAGTGAACTAGAAGAAGGAAGATCTTTCTGTCTCTCCTTCTCTCTGTAAATCTGCCTTTCCAATAGAAATGAATACATTGAGAAAAGAAAAAGTTCCTGCCCAGGGGTCACCCACGTTGGATGGGGGCAGGGCATGTGCCGCCGAGCTCTGCAGCCCCCTGTATCTGTGGCCAGCTGCATGAAACAGACCACCCCAGAGGGTAGAGATGTGTGTGCAGGCTCCCGCAGCCCGCCACGGGAGACAGGAGACTTTCCCAGGCTCAGAAGGACTTGGCACACAGGGGAGGCCCCGAGATTGTTTATGGAGCAAACAGGATAAATACCAAGGCCACAATTGCAGGGGAGATAGGCTGAGAACCATACAAGCAGGAGTCAGGGGTCTGCCAGGGCTGCCAGGGACTGGGGGCTGCCAAGGGCTGGAAGTTGTCAGGGATTGGAGGGCTCCCGAGGGGCTTGGGGCAGCTGGGGGCTGCCAGGTGGCCAGGGGATTACCAGGGGTGGAGGCTGTAGAGGGGCAGGGGGCTGCTGGGTGGCTGGGGGCTGCCTGGAGTCGGGGCTTGTTGGGGGTTGCTGGGGGACTGGGGGCTGCTGGGGGCCGGAGACTGCCAGGGGTAGGGGGCTCCCAGCTCTGAGACCCAAGGAGCCTGCGGCGGGGAAGGCAGCGTTGAGGGACAGTGTGTGCTGCTGCTTGGCTTCCAGGAACAGAGCAGAATCCTCAGCTCTTCGGGCCAGAAGGAGGAGGAGGACGATGTCATGTGACTCTTGAGGAGAGGAGTCAACTTGCCCTTGCTCCGGGAGATCCTCCAAAGCATACAGGGCCTGGCCTGGGACCCCAATGTCACCCTGGAATCCAGAGACTGGGCCCTTCCCCTTGGGGACGCTGCCAGGCCCAGCTCATGGCCTCGAAAGCACACTTTCCAACCTTTGTCTCAGACCCCAGCCCAGTGTGGATGGATGTTTCTGAGCCAGATCTCCCGGCAATACCAGAAAATGCTCTCCCTGGAGGTGGAGAGAAGTTTCCTACTTTGTTGACTAAGGACCCTGAGCCCGAAGGAGGGGCTGCCAAGAAAGCGGGCAAGCTCACTGTCCTGCAGGCTGAGCGGGCTGCCCTGTCTGCCACAGGTCTGTCTGTCTTCTGGACATTCCAGGGCCCTGTAAGCTCTTGGGGCCAGCAGCAGGGAGATCCTGGGCCCAAGCGGGCCCAGAGGCCACCGAGGGCTCTCCCAGAAGCCCCACTAATCTCCCCTGGCGGCTGAGGTCCAGTCAACCCAACCTGCTTCTGCTCTTGAACTTGCTTGTCCATCAACTGCTCATGCATCTCACGCTCCCATTTTGCCGAGTCTTTCCTTACTGTTGTGTGTTCACCTGCTGTCTAGTTCTTGGTCACGTGTGTTCTCGTGGACGGACCCCTCCCCCAGCACGTGACCCTCCAGAATGTATGCAGCAGAATAAGTTCTAACTCTGTGAGCAGCTTCCCTGACGAGGTGACAGGGCCCCTCGCCTGGGGCTCTGGCTGGTGGGGTGGGTGGGGAGAGAGCCCTCCTCACCTTTGAGAACATTCCCCGGTTTGGAGGCGCAGAGCCGTGGACGGCGCGGGGGAGAGGCTTGGCGTGCCTGGGTGCCTCCTCCCTGAGACCGCGCGTTGGGCAAGCCTGCGGCGTCAGAGCCCTCTCTGGAACCTTGGGACAAACTCAGCCTGCCACAGGTGTTTGCTTAGCTGGGAGCCAAGAGAGAGGGCAGGTGACAAGGTCCTGCACCTGCTTGGAGTGACAGCCCAGCTGGGACTAATGCACCATGCAGAACTGAAGGCCCAGAGGGGACAGTGCAGACAGCTAACTTCCCGGTCACACAACAGTGGATCTGCTGGGCTCACATCTGACTCCACCGGAGGTCTCTGGGCTGCTCCACGCCGAACTCAGATGCAGCAGGCCAGAGGTGGAAGGAAGCATTAGAGGGACAGGGGATGTGATAGCAAGGGAAACTATCGCTCAAATGTAATTAGCAGGCGCTGCAGGCAGTTCCTGGTCCCTCCAACCCACAACAGCCGGCCGTTTCACTCAGCACCACATCCTGGGGTCCTGCCCCACTTTGGCTGGCTTGCAGGCTCCCATTTTTGCCTGTCGCCCACCCTATGCTTGGCACCTGTGCCCTGTACCCTCCAAGCCCATTGGATTCTGTCTTCCCACAGCAGGCGGAGACTGCCACTTCCCCCACATTCTCCGGAGCTGTCCGCAACTCACAGCTCCGGGGAGTGAACTGCACAGCCCCAACCCTGCAGCTCCACACCCTCCCTCCCACCTGCGGGTCTTCTTGGTCCCCCTCAAGGCTTGGCCAACCCCCACTGGAGCCGTCACTGTTCCGTTCTGCTTGGAGGACTCCCCAGATCTGCCTCTTCCCCGGCTTCTTAGGTTTCACGGCCATCAGAGCCAGACCTCCAGAAAGCACAGCCCGGCCAGCCAACAGTTCCTCCCAGCAACAGTTAATTTTTCTTCCCTCCAAGTGGGTGGGAGTTCAGGCCCCCATGGGACCACAAGCTGCCCAGCTCTGTCCTCCTGCAAACTCGCTTCTGGGCACCTGTGGCCTAGAAAGCTCCCCCAAGTGGCCCACCCTCGAATCTGGCAGACTGGGGACGTGAAAAATGCCGAAGCCCGACCTCTAGTGGTGTTCACGAAATGACACACCCGTCGGTGAAACCTGCCGCGCACTTGGGGCCCTGGGATGCCTCAGACCAAACAGAGCTTAGGGTACATGAAGTCCTGTAATTCTTTCAGCCTGTGAGTAGGTATTAATATTAGCCCCATTTCATGGATGCGGAAAGTGAGTCCCAGGCTAGGGGAGTCCAGTGTTACTTGACACACTGGGTGTGGAGCTTGCCATGTACATCAAGAACCCTTGCTTGGGGCAGGCACTTGACGCAGTGGCTATCCGCTGTGTGGGATGCTGCTTCCCTATCTGAGTGCCTGGTTTGAGTGCTGGCTCTTCCTCCCACCCTGACTTCCTGCTAACGTGCCCACAGATCACAGGTGACGCTCTGCTTGGAAGGCCTGCACTGAGTCTCCACTCGTCAGAACCCCTGTCCAGCTGTCGTGCTGTGGGCTCCTGGGAAGCAAACCAGATCTCTTTGTCTCTCTTCAAATAAGATTAAAATGATTAAGATTAAAATGTTGGGCCCAGCACAGCAGCCTAGTAGCTAAAGTCCTTGATTGCATATGCCAGCATATGGGAACCAGTTCAAGTCCCAGCTGCTCTACTTCCCATCCAGCTTCCTGCTTGTGGCCTGGCAAAGCAGTGGAGGACGGCCCAAAGTCTTGGGACGCTGTAACCGTGTGGTGTTTCACCCTGGTGCTGCCTGCTCTGTCCTGGCCAATTTGGTTCCCTCCCATCTGGCCCTAGTTGCTGTCACCCTACAGCAGGGCTCTCGTCCATTCTGACATGTCACAATACCTGCTTGGATGGGCCACACAGGGTCACACTGACTTTGGGCTGCTGGCCCTTACCTAACCTGAGAAAGGAACTCATGAACTCGGCCCTGCACAGACTTCCCAGGAGGCTCTGCAGCCAGGCTCTGTTTTCTGCTGGATGAACGCCCGCTTAGACTCTCACAACAGGGCCTGGCAGCGTGGCCTAGCGGCTAAAGTCCTCGCCTTGAACGCCCCGGGATCCCATATGGGCGCCGGTTCTAATCCCGGCAGCTCCGCTTCCCATCCAGCTCCCTGCCTGTGGCCTGTGGGATACCCAAAAGAAGTTCCTGGCTCCTGGCTTTGGATCGGTGCAGCACCGGACATTGTGCTCACTTGGGGAGTGAATCATCGGACGGAAGATCTTCCTCTCTGTCTCTCCTCTCTGTATATCTGACTTTCCAATAAATAAATAAATCTTTAAAAAAAAAATCTCACAACAAACCTGTCGTCCTGGTGACCTTTGCTCTGGTTCATTTGACAGGTGAGTAAGCTGAGTCCACAAACAGCAGCGTGCACACAAGGTGAGTGGCAGCATGTTCCTGTCCCCAAGGGCTTATCTGGGAGTCCCGGGCACAGAAGGGCTGGCATTGGCAGCAAGGGCTTTCTAAAGCTGCCTCAGCGGGGATCCGAGGGACTCTTCTGCTGGCGGGTGGCCTGGGACACGTGCTCCTCTGCCTTCTGTTGCCTTCCCTGCCGAGCCATGGGGAGGATTTGCAGGTACTAGGTGAAGCAGGTGCCCAGTGGTGCCATGTCCCCTGACCCTGAGGGGCCCACATGTCCAGCTCTCTCTGCTCTGAACTTGGGAAACCT